CAGACCTCTAGCTATGTCATCAAACAAAATTAAGTAACTTCAACATTACTTGGTGAGTACTGACTCTTTCTATTTTCCTCCCAGTGCTTAAAATTTGATTATTTTTCCAGGATATTCTGAGAATTGCAATCATGCTGACTGATTTATAACACTACAACTTCTCTTACCTTCTGGAGACAAGCAAATGTTTGACCTTTTCCCATCCTCCATAGGTTCTCGTAGATAATTGCTAATAGCTCTGAGGTTGATACTGTTCCCTAAGTGCCCTGGGATGAATCAGCCCAGCCGATTTGAAAACATCACATTCATCTAGTTATTTTCTAACTTCTTCTTTGTAATCTAGACAGAAATCTTCCATGAACATCAGTGGTGTTAAATGTGTTCACCTCTAGATCACCATTGCCATTTTCATTGACAAACAAAGGCAAAAAAGGGGATTAAATTGTCCATCTGCCGGAGAGCCTTCCTGATGTAGTGCAGTTGTACAAAACCAGCAGTTTCCTTGGTCCTCATTATAGTACTGAAATATAGAATTTTTTATTCTTTATTACTTAAATTTACTTTGTGCATAAACCTTAAGGGTACACAGAGCAAATCTGTCAGGTACCACATCTAGAAGCTCCAGATGTTGAAATTTTCATCCCGTCTCTATAGTCACCAGCAAACTCTTCAAGGAATGAGACAGTGCAGAAGCATTCAATTTAGGTTGTGCTTCTGACACTGTGCAAACACTGCAATACATTTGTTAAGGCTCAAGAAACAAGGGCAAGAATTGTGTCCTTATTAATGTGGGAATTTGTATTAAATCACTCCACCTTATGCTATTTCTTGCCCTTCTCTTTTATATGAGCAACATTTCTCTCCCTATTAAAGGGGAATACTTCTCACATGTGGGAAACATCCACTTTTTTCCTGCAGATGCAGCATAGTGCAGAGTACAAACATCTACGCTGGCTTTGCAAGAGTTAACTTTGACAGCAGGAAGAAGCTCGCTGCAGAAAGGCAAAATCCTGCCTGGGCTAACTGCTCCACTGAAAACCAGGGCAAGCTGCCCGCAGGGCTGAGCCGGCCAGTTTCTGCTCCCTGAGCAAGGTCAGTTACAGCCAGTTCAAAAGTCTTGGTGCTGAATGTACATCCTAATGTCCAAATACAGCTGTGCAACCACTCTGTCTTCTCCTCAACAGAATATTTCATATAAATGCTTGGTTTGTTGTTTCTTTTTTTTTTTTTTTCCTCCATATTGCTCTCTCCTCCCACTAAAGTGATATGTTTTATGTGGTCCTCCTGTTCCATTGCAGTCACACCTTCCCAGACTCCAAATCATGACATTTATGATCATGTTTTGTTGTTGTTACAGAAGGAAGCTGACATTGGTCCATTGTAAGTTCAGAAGTAAAACAGCTGAAAGAGAAATAATTTGATCTACTAAAGATTTGCTCAGTCTTCGCATCTCCTTGCTTTATCCGTGTTCTAGCTGATACTGGAAAAATTTAAATTCTCACTAACTCTAAGACTCTCTTCATAGAACTTGCTTGTTTTTCCTACCTTTCTCCTTTCCTTATAATTCTTCTTTTTCATTACCACCAGGTTAAAAAAAAAAAAAGACTGCTAGGCCAAGGTATATTTTAAAAGATCTCTGCACTAAGCTGTGATCTACTTTTCTTAACCTCTTACCTCTGAGAAAATGCTTTCTCCTCTGTTGACTAAAGATCTGTGAACAGGAAAATATTTTACATGTTAATGTCAGGAAAATAATGTTTTAACAAAGTTAAAGCTCTCACAGAAAACCTTTTATTTCCACCTGATTTTGGAAATAAACAAGTTGACCTACATGTGTTGTTTTAATTGTCATTTATAGTTATGTATATAATTATTATAGCTTTCTCTCTCCAAATGCCTTTAGAGCAAAGATGATTTTTTTTTCCTCTTTTCTTTTCATATTTTGGCCTCAATTTTATATATAAGGAGATTACTTCTCACACCTGCTGACATGATGAGCTACTTCAGAGACGAAGAGTTCCTTCACCAGACAACTCCTCTGGGTTTAGAGCATCCTTGCAGAATTCAGTGGAAAGGGAGACAGATGAGCATGGCGGTAACATAAGGCTCTGAGCCTCTCCAAGAGCTACACAAACCCAAAATCTTCAACTTTGCCTCTACATTTTCTATATTTTCCTTTATAGCCAGATCTTCCACTGCATGGTTGAACGGTTGCATGGTGCTGCTCTGGGGAGTCACAGGGGAAGAGCTCAGCAATGGGGGGAGGATGGGGTGACGAAGGACAAAGCAAAGAGTTCCATCTCTGATAAAACACTGTACTGAAGCCTGACCATTTCCCATGTTTGTAAACAAAACTGAACTTCCAGTTCATTTCCAGGAAAATACAAGATGGCCTAACCAAATCCCCCTCTCTGCAAGCCTATCCTCCCTGACAGGTCACCCAGGTCAGCTCCCAATAATTCCTCAATGTTTTATCTGCAAGGATTTAAGTTTTGAAGTGTGATCTAAAAGCTGCAAGACAGAGACTGACCTACACGCTGATGTGACAAGCCAGGAGAACAGCAATCCTTTAAATGGGGCCCCATGCCAGGAAATTGGGCACCAAAGTACGATCAGCTTTACAGGCTAAAAAGCAACTAACCTCAGCCATCACAGAGAGAGTAAAAAAGGTGACGATCTGGGAGCAACAAACTGAGCTGTGGACTGACACTAGCAGGCTGCTTAACATTCACAATAGAGAAGACAGAAAGGATGTCAATCCCTCTCATCTGTCCCAAAAAGGCAGCCTGAGCAAGCCATGAGAAATAATGTAGAAGCAATAAATAAGAGAAGAGAGAGGAATGAAGAATATGGTATAGGTCTCCAAGACACCCGTGGAGTGACACCAGCAGCCCCCGAGCAACACAGCTCAGCAGCCTGAAGGCTGAGAGAGTTAGCATGGAATATAGAAGCGGCAGCTGGGCTCCTCTCAGAGTTGCTCTCAGCTTTGTTGGCCTTCTGCAGCCTTAAAAAGCTTTAGAAGCTCAAAAAGAGTGGGCTTTATTAGAACATGAGCTAAAATGAAGTGCTTTTAAAATAAGTCGGGCAAGAACAGAAATGCAAAGGCTCTGAAAAGCATACCTCTCCCATCTCCCTGCTGTGAGCCTCCTGCTGATGTCCTGCTGCCACACCTCCTGTGCTGCGCTCTCCTCTCCCAGGCATCAGTGCACAATAGATTAAAAATCACCAACGAGCAGTTCCTGTCACAGACAGACATTAGCACAACCATATAACCTACCCACGTGTGATGTATAGTTTTCCTCTGAAGCGCCCTGTGTGTCTCCTCTTGAGCACACAGACGAGTGGTAGTTATGTCTGTTGGTTTGGGTTCAGGCAACTCCACCTGCCCCAGCTGCATACGGGCCTTGCTGGGCAAGCTTCCATCTAGGCCTAATTATGAGCGTCCCTTTTGGAAAGACATCTGGGGAAGTGTGTGGCCATCAGGAATAACAGCATCACCCAGCAATGACATTAATGCTTTTAATTCTACTGATGTTTCCAGCTTTATTTTTAAGAAGCAATGACAGCTCCAGCATCCCCAAATCACAGCGTTCTCTGCTTTGCCTTATCTATCCGTGCACACATGCAAATCCACAGAGACTTTGACAGCAGTTTTTAACAGGGCACACAGTTTTCCGTCAAATAAAATGTCAGGATGTGATCTTCCATATTTCACTAGTGCTATTCTGCCATTTAATTTAATAACAGCTAAATATCAAGTGCTTGCTATTTTGATGCTGTGTTCCATCAGCTATTGAATTAGAAATAATGAGACAGGTCTAAATTTGTGATTCATGGTAAACTGCCTAAACGAATCTCAATCACACAGCGGCTGACATCTAGTGATAACTGATTAAACAGATGATTGTCTGTTTAGCTGTCCTATCCCCTCTCACAGGAGTGGGAATATTAATGAAGGACAAGTTCACTTACACTTTACAAGTCTTTTCCAGATAATATAAATAAATTTGTATTCACCACAGGAACTTTTTTTCCTTTTCTGCTATTATAGACCCTTTCATTGAATTTGACCAATGTTTTGTGTATATGACAAGCCTTTGTAGCTTCAGGTATACCGCTGAACTTCTGAGGTGATTAAAAAGTATCTGTATTTCTCTATTTACCATCAGCTCTAATTACAGCAGGCTCCTCAACCCAAATTTCTCTTTAGAGAAGCTCCTTGCACCTGCTGTAGCAACCACTCAGTGCTGATCCTGACAGGAGACAACCCACAGGAGTAAACATTTGCTCTGTTAGAAAGGACTTTCCAAAAATTAACTTGGCAGAATTTTAAAATATTAAAAGTATCTGCCCTAAAAGAAATCCTCTATCTATCTTCACTCTTCACCAAGTTTCACCCTGCACCTTTTCTCTGCTGGACCCAAACCAGTTATCCTCTGGCAGATTTAAAGATGCCTTATACATATTCTGCTGGGTCAAATCTAGAAACTCTCAGTGAATTGTAAATCATCCATAAATAAAACCAGTTGCTAATTTTTCCTTCATATCTTTTATTAGTGTACATCAACAAAAAGTTGAACGAAATGTTATGAGTGATGACAGTGATATAAAGAGGCAGAATTTTCCCGGTATGTTTTTCCAAACTCAATTGCTTTTGAAAATGGGGTAACTTGGAGATAATGAATTATTTTTTGAAGTCTGACAGTCAATTTTGTCATTTGCTTACCAGCGTACCAAATTTGCCAGGCCAGACAGCACCCGCATGATGCCTTTATGCCTGAGAATGATGGTGTGCTCCAGATAAAAAGAACTTTTACTGAGAAAAAGAGAAAAAAAAATAAAAATCAGCTTCAAGAGCAGGTAAACAGCAGCTGAACAAAATTATCTCCTGTAGACAAAAGGCGGCTTTTGTAGCCAAAATTCATATCCAAGACCAAAAAAAAGGTTATATGGACTCAAAATACATATTCACCAAAGTAAATAAGATGCCTATGGCCACCCTAGCGCGGAATGGCACAAACCCTGTATGGGTGGGGCTGCAGTGTGCCCCCCAAAATGGGCTCTGTGTTGATTTTTGTCACACCCTCAGGCAGCCGGAAGGTGAAGGCGCGCAGCAGGTTGGCAAAGAAAATGAAGAGCTCAGTCCTCGCTAGATGCTCCCCCAAACACACACGGTGCCCTGCAGAAAGAAAAGGGGAAGGACAGTGAGTAAGTTACCCTGACCTCAAATGCAATTGTATTCATCTTCACACAAAGCAAAGGTATTTTTGCTGAACCTGGAATTTCTTTAGGACTTAATACAATCTGAAAATAATCATGTTGATTTTATCACTGTTTTCCACAAAGAGGTTTACGATAAATGACCAATAGTTTTTTGATAGACATCTTAATTCTACAGTCCCAATCCAAACCATTAATGTTTGTGCTGTCAGTCCACTTACCTATTGAGAATGGTAAAAAAGCTTCTTGGCTCACAAAGTTTCCATCCTTATCCAAGAAGTGACCAGGGTTGAACTGTCGAGGTGTTTCCCACTGCTCCGGGTCATACAAAGACGAAGCAATATTTGGAAAAACTATGGTGCCCTGAAAGGAGAAAAAGACTAACTCAGTTCTGGCTGTCCATCCTCCCCCAGCGGTCAGCACCAGCTAGGTAAGACCAGCGCTAGTTTACTTTCAGAGTTCAGTGCTGTATGCTGGTGGGTTCCTTTACCCAGTAGGAACTGTGAGGAAAGTGAAGTCATTTTGTTTTGGAATGTCAGTCCAAGCCCAACAGTAGAAGTGGCCATTTTGCTAGAAACTAACAACTTTATTTGTACTAAACCCATTTTCATTTCTAACACTAGAAGTTTCTGTGGTTTATTCTCTTTGACGAAAGCTAGTTGCAAACCTTCGTGCCTTTCCCTGGATCTTTCTGCAGACAAAAATTCAGTCAAATCTTTCCAATGCCTTCTCAGCACAAAGCACAGTATTCTTCAGTGCCAATCTCTAAGGTTTTGTCTTCATTGATTTGTAGCCTTGCT